CTAAAATACTTTTCAGACCGTGTAGCATAAATGCCCAAATAACAAAAAAAGTAAAAACCCATCTGTGGCCAAAATATGACATTCCTAGAAATTAAAAAAGACTCGGAAAACGTGAAAGAAAACGCCAAGAAAAGTGATACGACTCGATTGAAAGGATTCAGTAATGAAAATAAAAAATCAGTAGAGGCAGGATCAACTTACTTGTCCCAGTTTTATTCATAGGATAATGCTAAAATGAAATTTGATTAATATTTCAAAGTGACCGAAGATAATCTCTGGTTCTAACTCTAGTTCTTGGGAAGAACCGCACCAAGTAAGTTGATGCTGCCTCTACTGATTTTTTATTTTCATTATTGAATCCTTTCAATCAAGTCATATCATTTCTCTCGGCTTTTTCTTTTACATTTGCCGAGTTTTTTAAATTTGTAGAAACATCATATTTTGGCCAAAGACGTCTTTGCGGAATCAATTAAGTAAGACTTTTACTTGTCACAGTTTTCTTTACAAAAAAAAAACCAGTTTTTGTTATTTTGACAGATTTCACGAATTTTTTCATATGTAAAAAATTATTTTCACGTTTTCCAAATTTTTATTACCGACATCACGTTTTAACTTTATTTGAAGTATCTTATTTGCATATTTTTTTTACATAATGCACAATATTTTTTAATAATTTGAAAAATCTCCTTTCATGTATCTATGAGATTGAATCAATTTTTTTTAAATTTGAAATCTCGAAATTCTTACTTTAATTAACCTTCAAAATTGACTTCAATAACGGGTGTAATAACTTACCTAAATAAGTCAAGAACTGCGATTAATTTTCGAACGAAAGACAAATTTAATATTCGTTACCATAAAGTACACAAACATAACAATAGAACTCAATAAGGAACAAAATCTGAGGGAAGAAATAAAACATTCTCCTCTTTTTCCCTGTCACAATTCAACGGTTTGAATGGTTTGACTACACTGATTAGGCCAGTAAAACAAGACTCGCGTTTATACTTGATACCACCCAAAAAGTCCTGGCAGGCTGAAATTGCACTAAAATGTAGAGAAAATTCCCCTGATCATCATATCAAAAATGTGCATCTACACGTTCAGCAGATGCTTGATTATTTAAAAACTAATGGAAAAATGAGGGCAAACGCCAAAAAACTACACTGGATTGATTTGTCTAATCCTATCGGAAAAATAAAAGTATCCAGAGGTTGGGCTGACCCAATTCTTTAAATTGCACGTAGAAGCAATGTTCCCAAGCTCTTCGTTATTTTTCATTTAATTTTTTAACACGATTTGGACCAAAAAGTCCCAAATAATCAGCTGATCACGTATCACGTATGCCTGGTTCGCGCGTCGCTGGACGCACTGGACAGAGCATTTCAAACTCCTGCGCATCCCGCGTATACCCAAGAGCGGCGCGCGCAACGGGGGGCCGGGCATACACAATCAGCTGATTATTTGGGTCTTTTTGTGCTCAACGATGTTAAAAATTAATTTAAAAATAGTAGTAGGATTAGGAACATTACTTCGACTAGAAATTTGAAGAATTAGATCAGCCCAACCTCTGAATATTTTTATCTTTTCGATAGAATTAGATCAATTAATTCAGTACAGTTTTTTGGCGTTCACTCCAACTTTTTAATTAATTTTTAATTAATTAAGCACATTTCTGCTGAACGTGTGGGTGCACATTTGTAATATCATGATGAGGGGAATTTTCTCCACATTTTGGTATAATTTCAGCCTGCCCGGACTTTTTGAGGTGGTTAAGGTCCAATTTGACTGGCCTAGATGGCAACATCTCAACGCCAAATTTGACCTTGGTTAGGTTGGATCGAATTGCTGCCAACTCAGTGACTTCAATGTAACCGACAGTTAATAGAAATCGGGAAAATACTGAAATGTAACCGTTTCTATTAGAAGAAACTTATATCAATGAAAAGCGTGAGGACGATTTATATGATGTAACTCTGCACAGATTGCATGTAACTAGTGACTTTGTATTTTATGGATTGAATACGATTTGAACGTAGTGGAAGGGATAGTTGTGTCGTGCTAGATACATGGTAGCTCTCGGCCTCATTTGTTGGACAGAGATGAGATTTTTACTTGGCCGATACGCTACTGCGCATCTCGCTTACTATTATTCCTCTAGGGACTGGAAACTCGCTTCGCTGGGTTAGAACCGTACTTTCCAGTCCCTACGAGAATAAAATATCGTGTGCCTCACGGTAATAAAGTATTGTCTGACTCGTGTGATTATAACCCTCGCTTTCAGCTCGGATTATAAATTCTGATTTCGTCAGAAAATTCTTTATTCCCTACAGGCACAATATACGATTTCGCAACGTGACCGGGCTAACGAAATTTTTTTGAAAAAAAATTGAAAAAATTACAATATTTCGAAAATTTAGTGAAAAACGGTATACATATTCTGATTGATTGAGATAGAGTATATCGAGAAAAATATTTTGAGACGTGAAAATTTGAAATGTTTTGCATAGTTTTCGAGATATTTGCGAAAAATAGTTCAGAACCTTTTTTCTTTTGCGGCCGTGTGGCATATGTTACTTTATGTTACGAAGTCCAACTAACCGAGTTTTTTTATTGCCCATTTATTCACATCGGAGCCGACGGCGTTTTGAAAATTTATTCATCACCTTGTAATTTGGCATTAAGTTTACGCGTGTATAAAATTATTTTTTCCAGACTGGTGCCTGAAAATAGTATTTTTCACGCCTACGACGGAAAAAGTGAATCACTTTTTTTCCCCGTGGCTATGATACTATTTTATGTCATTCTGGTCGAAAATGCGGTTTTATCCGAGCAAAGCGAGGTTAGAGACACGCTTTACATTTCGCTTTACGCGATGACATAAACACTATTTTGTGAACGCTACGCTATACACGTCCAACAAATCGCGGTGGCCTGTGCCTGAACAATTTTTTTTTTAATCCACGCCGTAGAAAACATATTACTCTTCCTCACATACTTGCCATGTCGGTGTTGCATCTGACGAGATCTGTAGATGATCTGTTTTCCATAGCTAGGCCTTAAAATAACTATTCTTTAGGCTAACAAGATTAATTCAAATTCGAACTAAAGGTCAAACGAAAAATACTCGATGCGAATCTTAAATTAGAATATTAAGGTAGTACTTGTAGTATATCATGAGTCAAGCTAGAATACTGATGACATTGATTAGCGCAGTAGTTTGGCTGGACAACATTGCTCAACGGCTTGCACGCGTGTGTGAATCGTCGAAAGATAATAAAATTAATAACCATTGTTTTGACCCATCCAGGCTTCAAAAAATTTAACTCAGTCATTTTTACATTAAAGTCTATCTGTATATCAATTTTCATGAAGACCTCATCGCTGCTTCCATATACGGGAGTACCGTCACTGTCCCAGTTGATGCACGCCGAAGGACAACTCGTTGAAAAATTCCTTATCATTTCATTTTTTTTGGGCGAAAATGTAACTGCAAATTTGAAAATCATTCCCAGTATCTTCGGAACAGAGAAGCACACAAAAAAACAAAGAAAACGTAGAAGTTTATTGAATTAAGGCCCGGGTGGACTACCTATAGAACGTCATCTTTTGTTCAAATTTTATCTTTCTAGCCTAAAATACATAAAAATTTGGGATAAGTTTTGAGGTCACGAAAATCACTGGATTTGGCATGAAAAAATAATGAAAAAAAAGAGGAAAAAATTTTGAAGGGCGCTAAAGAGCAATATTTATGAAAAGGGATTTTCCAGGTTTACAAAAAAATAATGAAAAATCTGCAGCATTTGATTGCCTGTAGCTGCATTCAATTCAGTGGAGGGTTTGGTTTGTGTGGTGAATACTTGACATACATGCTACATATTTTTCATTATTTTTTTGTAAACCTGGAAAATCCCTTTTCATAAATATCGCTCTTTAGCGCCCTTCAAAATTTTTTCCTCTTTTTTTTCATTATTTTTTTATGCCAACTCCAGTGATTTTCGTGACCTCAAAACTTATCCCAAATTTTTATGTATTTTAGGTTAAAAAGATAAAATTTAAATAAAAGATGACGCTCGATAGATAGTCCACCCGGCCCTTAATGGAAAAATAAATGAGAGCCTCTATGTCCCATGTCCCTCATGTACGGGAGTACCGTACAATATCAATATCAATTTTATACTTACATTTTATTGTTTAACCCTTATGCAACCTGAGGCGATTTTAACCACTACACGTTCCACAACATTGATTAGACAGGAAATCTGAGACAGCTCTCAAGAAAAATGATTTTTCCAACTTTTCAGCGGGTCGTTTGATTTGGAGGAAGCTTGCAACTGATAACAAAATAATTCCGCTTGTTGATTCGCAGAAAATATTGCACGTTTATGATGCCGCGAGTTTAATTTATTACAAATTGTCTCGCGAGAGCGCACTGCGTCTACGAATCGGGACTCGTGCATGAATTGGGACAGTGACGGTACTATCTTAAGCATATTATCGAAAAGGGAACGAAAGATTATTTAGACTGCATTGTGGGCATTTTACAATTTTGGATCTTTTGGCAGATTTTTGGTAAATATATTGCTAGATTGCTAAAAATGTAATTTTTTTATTTTGAAAAAAAGTGGAATGCCAGCAATAACCACTTAATAACAGATCGTCAATGTGTATAAAAATAGACAATTACTTTGACGTAAATATACGATTCTTTTTTATTGAGATTTAACACTTTTTACTAATATAATGCGTCAAATTCTATTTTCTTTTCCCCAATGAGAAATTTTATCTTTGTGTTGTTTCTGCTAGTACGTAACTGTGACTTAGTATTGCCACAAAGTACGTGCATCAACGTATTTTTGAGTGCAATGTTTCTGTTACGGTTTCATTTTGCTATTATATTATCAATAAGGTCGGAGACTTCATACCACAATGTTTGATTGTAATTAGGTATATAATTTTGCAAGTTTAATTGACTTAAACATTTTTTTTTTCATTCACAGAACCCTTTTCTGACTGGTTAGAGGAAAAAGTTGAGTTCTTGTTTGAAGAAATTCCGACTCCAGAATGTGGCCAAAAACCAACTCCCACCTACTCTCAAAAACAGGAGACTACCCAATCCATGCTGCAGGAGTTCGAAATAGTTCTGGGAGATGTGGAAGCCTGTCACCAGATCTATCCCGCAATTTCCCATCTAACCCCCCCTCAGACTCCACCTCACGAGACCCCGCAAAAATTCATGGGATTTGACAATCAACTAGTCTATTATCAGACAAGCAAATCGCACGTGATTCCGAACACCACAATTACTCAGAAAATACTCCCCGCCACTCCATCCATCAAGTCGGACTCCTATTTGGAGCAGATTTCTGGAGTCTGGAACGCTGAAAATGTTTCTCTAATGCCTTTATCCACTAATGTAAGTGGAGATGTGGCTAACGAGCTCGCAGAAATGGATGAATATGTTCGATCCTGTGCTGAAGACCTGTCCCCATCGACTCCGTCAAGCTCGTACACTAGTTCTAACAGCTATTTGTCCTCCGAAGATTCTAATGATCCTGACTGGGCGATTCCCACCACCTCTTCCGGTAGCTTGCAAGACTCTTCCTTCAGTAAACAACATGGCCAACGGATTAATTCTAAAAATCGAAAAAAGCCTTACTCAAAGCCCAATATTGAAGACAAAAAAGTCAGGAAGAAGGAACAGAACAAGAATGCAGCTACTAGATATCGTCAGAAGAAGAAGGCTGAAATTAAGGAGATTGTTGGAGAAGAGCAGGAATTGGTTGAGTACAATGAAAAGCTGCAGGATCAAGTTAAAGAGGTGACCAGGGAAATTGGTTATCTTAAGCGACTCATGAGAGATCTCTTCAAAGCAAAAGGGCTCATAAATTAATTAGTACACATGTCTATCAATTTTTCATTATTTACATGCTGGCAGGTCGATAAAAAAAACGTTTCGATGGTATTGTTTCAAAAAATCTATCCATTTAGTTACTGCATTGATTAGTTTTGATTAAGGATAACTCCTGAGGTAATTTAGAAATTGTTGAAGCTGTCTCCAAACACATTTCATATTCCTTTATTACCATAGATATATGTAATTCACAATAATTAATAGTTCAATAGAATTTTCTTTATTATCAATGTCGACTGTTGTCAAAGAGTTAATGATCTTTCATTAATGTTTGCAATAAAACGGGCAAATTGATTTTGAAAAAGTTTCAATAATTTCGAATGGCGTTCGTTAATCTTTGAAATGAGGGAAGACGCATTGAAACCGTATCGTTTATACAAGAAATATCGAAAATTTAGAATACTTCGCTTTGCTATCATTATTCCATGCTAATTCAATAATGAAAAAAACTTGATTCTTTGTTGCTTCAACTTAACTTACCTCCTTTTTTCTTTCGTTTGCCTTTATTCATTAATACAAAGATTAATCTCCTCATTATTTGCCCTTGGTGTTACCTTCGGTGGAGGCTGTAGGGTCACTTGTCTACGATTTCAAACAGTGCTCGTGAGGAAAGTGGATGCAAGTGAGAGAGGGGAACGTATCCATTTTGATATAGTTAAAAACGTATTAACGATTTTACTCAGCATAATTAATATAGCAACGTAATAGTTTGTTGTTTTATCGAACCGAGTGACAATGGAACCAATTTTAGTAATCGCATCGTCTTCATTTATCCATCATTGTAATCATCAAAAAGGTAGGAGATCTGTCTCACTTTAGTGAACCAATGTTGTCTTTGTTGCAATAAAGTGAAAAGGTCTTTTGCAACCGCAAGTCTCTCCATTCCAACTTTTATTTTAATGCAATTTATATGTACACTGTCTTTACTTTCATTTTTCTGTATGCAATTATTATAATTATGTATTTTATGAAATTCAATAAAAGATTGAAATTACTCGATGTGCTAAGTGTCTTTTTGTTTCTTAGCTTTATTATCGTTTAAATTCAATGTTTGAATATCCGGCATGGCACCAATTATAGTCTAAAACAGACATGGGCAGAGTGAGAACCTTGGGAGCCCGGACCATAAAACCTTATTATTCCCCAGGGACTGGAAAGTACTATTCAAACCTCGCTTCGCTCGGTTCGATCGCAGTTTCCAGTCCTTACGAGAATAAAACATTGTATAACTCAAGGAAATAAAGTATTTTCTGACTCATTTGATTATAACCCTCCCGTTATAAACTCACATTTCGTCAGAAAATACTTTAATCCCTAGAGCAGGCATGGGCAAAGTGCGCTCAATCAGCTCACCTAGCTCCCAACGCCAATTAGGCCAATGAGTATAAAAGAATGGATCCTAATGCATTGTGCAGGTAGTCGGAGGGGCGAGACCGCGAGGCTTGAGTCAGAGTGGGGGTATCGTTATGTCAGTCAAAAATAGGAATATATTTGTCGCTGTATTTTGCATTGTTGAAAAATATCAATTAATTATTTTTTTCTTCATATGAACTTCCGCATGAAATTCCCGTGAATAAATGACTCGGAACTGAATATTTCGGCAGCAAATGAATTGAAAAACACTGGTGAAAAGATTGTTTAATTTTTGTTAATATTTTTTGAATATTGCCTAAACGGTATTAAAAAAATTTTAAAGATTTTTGACCTTGAAAAAGCACAAAGAAACAGGGAATTTGGATTCTATCATTTCATGTCTTGCTGACTTTTTTTCATTATGTCGATCCTACTGTTAAACATTTGAAAATGCATCCATTTCTGGTTAATAAAGAACATGAATAATTACTGCAAAAAACATAAAAATAATTAGCTGCAGAGAGTGATCAAGCAAATTCAATTAAAAAATACACACAGATTAAAAAATGTGTGATCTGGCCGACAATTGTGGGGTAAGTGTCTGCCAGACAATTATTTGGGATGTGTTCCAATATGAGTATTGAAAGAATAAATAGATTAATACCAAAAATGAAGTTAAAAGAATTCGTTCATACGAATCATTTCAGAGAAATTTCCTTGCAGAACTTTTATGGTAACACCGTTTTGAGTTATCTTCTTTGGCTCATATATTGGCAAAAAATAAGAAAAATAGGTCGAAATGTAAGAAAAAATACCATTCATTTCAAACCCAGTGCTTTCTGTGGGAAGAGTGAAAACAAGTATTTTTCACAAAATTCTCACCTGGCTCGCCACATTCAGTCTGTTCTTTCGGAGTGATAGATTAAATGATACACAAGTGTATTCAACTACCAAGTACCCGTGCAGATTTTTCCTATAATATCTTTTTTCTTTAATATTTATAAAGTATCTCTTTTATTTTTCATTTCATCAGTTTATCAGTGCGTGGTGATGGAGTCTCTGGGTAAGAAAGTGAAAAAGTTTCATTTTAGTGGTGAGTGGGAGATATCTTTCGCACGCTGTGAAAAACGGGATAAAGAAGTGTGCTTATTCTGTCAAACAACGTTCACGTGCTGAAAAGCGTTCAATATTGGGAAGCATTACAAGAATAACAAAGCTACATTTGACCTTGGTTTTCCTCTTTGTTCAGAAGCTCGTGGCAATGAAACTCGTGTCATGAAAGGAAAGCAGTTGTCATCGTCAGATGCAACTGATTTGTGCAACAACGATTCTTTGATAAATTCCGCAAATGTAATGCCTCCCGAACTTGAATGACCGAGCGCAGAGTCGAAGTCCCACAAATATAGTTTTAAATTAAGGTGGGAAAATCCATTTTCATGCTTACAAATTGGAGAAAAAGCCTTATGCTTATCGTGCGGCTTCGAGTTTGCAAGCATGAAATCGTTTAACGTTGGACGAAATGATAACACCGGTCATGGTAGCTTTAACGAAAAATTTCCTCTTCATTCTAATGCGCGATTGAATAAAACCTGGGCTTTAAAAGAAGAAAAAAATTATATTGATAAAGACCACACAACCGTTTTACGTAACGATAATGCTCAGACCGCGAATCTTATGTCATTTCAAACGGCATATCAAATAGCCAAAAACAAATCATCTTTGAGCGCCGGGGAAAAAAATAAAGAGCTTTTCATGATTCACATAAGCACACTCTTTCGGGGCACTGATCATTATGAAAGAATGACTACATTTGCTAATAAATGACCAGTTTCGAGACATACACTCACACAAAGATTAGAATTGATTTGCACCGATCTCCGGGCTCAGTTGCGAGCAGATTTCTCGCGTAGCGATTATTTTTCTTTTCAATGAGATGAATCATCAGCTAGATTCGAACACGCCCAAGTCGCAGTTATCGTTAGATTAATTTTTCCAGATCTTTCCGTCAAAGAAGAATTATTTACTCTTTTCCATGCAAACCACAACAAAAGGCGAAGCCATTTTTGCAGACTTGAAAAACGATTTCGGTGCTGCAGAAGTGCCGGTCCATATGTTAGTTAGTATCACCACGGATGGCTAACATGACCGGGCGCATGAAAGGGCTTATTGCAAAATGCAAAAATGATTCAAATTCCCACAAATTCAGGCACTTTCACTGCTCTCCATCAATTAGCACTATGTGTTGTAACGTGGTATTTTATTTTCGACCGTTCGTCGGTCAGTGAAACGTCCAGACGGGAAGTCAAATATTTGCGAGGTAAGAGTCTGAATTTGTTTTGTTTTATGATCTTAGTTGATTTCTTTTATTACTTGTTTTGAAGTGTATCGAGCCACATTTCACCGCTCATCCTGGGATACTTTACTGGAGTTGTCGTGAGAAATGCTGAAGTCCTCTGAGTTGATTTTCATTGTTTGGAAGAATCGAGAGGACGGAAGGAAGATGTGGATTTCGCGCATTCTCCCGGAGCTTACCCAGAGAAAACGTGTGGTGGCGCCACCGTCCGGAGCATGGATTTATTCGATCCCAAATCAGCAATTAGGCGGATTATAATCGACAAGTAGTTGGGCTCAATTAACCTGAAGGGTTGTGGACCGAGATCCGAAAATTCTACATAATATTTTATTGATTTAGGAGTCCAGAGATTTACTCCTGACAATTGTATGTCAGTCGGACTCCTTCTTTAAATCAAATTGTTAATTTGATTAGCTAAGTAAGTCGTTAGCCAATCGGAATTTTCTCGTGTCGGTGACGAGCCAATCACAGTATTTGTCGGCTTCGTCACCTGTAGAGCGTTGTGGTTCCGCCATTAATTGGCACTTTTTGTTTGGATATTGGACGGACAGCAGCAAATTTCGTTAGCTGAAGAATTTTGATCGTGTGAGATTATTACGGATTTGAGGAAGAGGCCATTGAGGATTTGCTCAAGCTTTGGAGAGATTGTTACCGTTCCTGAGACCAGACTGGAGAAAATTAGTTCGGTGAGCGGTGGATAAATTTTGTTAACAAGTGTTGAAAAGTTTGAAAATAATTTCTAACTATTTGAGATTTTATTTGTGGAAGAATTTATGGCATTTGACGCCATTTTATGATACTTAAATTTCTAACTTGTTATGACTCGTTCGGTAAAGTCATTTAAAAATTCACTGTCGATTTACTTTGTTGACTCGTTGTTGTTAACGAGTTTCTTTTGAATCTTAAAAGTATCGTGGTCTTGGCTGAGTAATTTTAACGACTCTTGTCTCTCTCTCTCTCTTCTGGAATAATTTTGTAAATTCTCGCTATCCTATTGCCTCTTATTTTTGTCGGAATTATCGATTATCTTTTGTCTGTCGAATTATTGGATTCTCGAGGTCATTGTTATTATCCGCGAGATTCCAACTTTGTATTTATCGTGGTTTGTGTGGCCACGGATATTTCGATTTGATATAATAATTTATTTGCAGCATTGAAAGTGGAATTGTAGCGTTTGTCGACGCTCGAGACTTGTGTTTTGCCGGTAACTCTTTCGGTTACTCTCGGCGTTTGTTTACGTCTTCTCGAGGCAGTTCCCCTTTCAATTGCTTAACTCTCGTCTTTAATTGTATTGGTGGACACGCTCGTTCCTCGTGGCAATAGTAGATTCCGTTATCATATCAAACTTTGACTTAGTATTACTATCCATTTTATCGACTCTTCATTACTTTTTGACTTGCTTATTTTTAATTTATTTTGACTTCGTTAATTTGGACTCATTTTGACATTTTATCGTGGATAGTAGTTTTGTAATTCGACTCATGGTTAGGGAATTTGTTTGTGAATTATTTATTTGTATCTTGTAAATTATTTATTTCTCTTTGTCACCGAGGATGTCGTGATTTCAAGAGTTGAGAGTAAGTCGGGGCTTTTCTTAGGATATTTTATTTTGTTTTGATAATTTTTGAATATCATTAAAGCACTAAATTGTTACGCCGCAATTTCGGAATTTGTTTGAATTTAGTTAACCCAGCCATTTCCGAATATTAGGACAGTTTTAGGAACCCAGCCGCCTCCGCGGTTGTTTTACTGACTGGCCAGCAACTGTCCTATTGTTATTTTTTTTGGAATTTTTGGCCGTTCTCGATAAAACGTCCTGGCGCCTGACTTTGAGGTTTTGAGGTTGGTCCCTGAGGGCTGCCTATGATTGTCTCTTCTTCCACGGAGAGCAAAAATACGTCACAGTGTAAAGAAAATTTCCGTTGACGTAATTTCAGTAGTTGTTAAATTACTTAATTCCATAATCGCGTAACCGCTGCAGCACTGTTTGTATGATGTCACATGGCAGTGAGGTGGCTGAGCAAGGCCGCGATGCTCGAAAGATTTTGGGAAAATTTGGAAGATATACCTTTTTTTGAATCGCGCAATGAAAAACATCATGAATTGAACGATATTGCATGGCTTTCAATGCTTGCATATACCGCTGACTTGACGGAAAATATCAGTTTTTACAACAAACAAATGCAAGAACCTAACAAATTGTTTTGGGATCACCTAAAAGTTCTCCA